AGTGGCATTATCTCGCTTTTTAAACTCTGAAATGGCTTACCTCTAGGAAAGCGGAACTTACCCCTAAGATTCTATTGGTTCCCTGAGCTAACTCCTGATTGGTCCATTTGTAGTGCTTCATTTTCATGGAGCTCACTCCTGATTGGTGATCCATTCCTGGTTGATCCATTTCTACAAAGCTTGTTCCTAATTAGTCACATTTGTTATACCTTATTTGCACATGATGTTACAAAATGTTGCAAAGTCTAGACTGGTGGTAGCCTGTAAAAGTCTGTTTAAACCTACAGACTGGGTCCAGAGCTTGGAGTGTTAACTCCTCTGGGCCTGCTGGTGTAATAAACCCGAGTTCTTCAATCCTCCGAGTGCTGCTTGGTCTCTTGCCTGGATCCAGGTTGCTGTCACAACTGAGCTGTAACACTGAGCTATAGTACTGAGCTGTAACACTTTGCTGCAACAGTAGGAATGGCTATTATGAGTTAAGACAAGAGATAAGTGATGGAAAGGCTGTGGAGAGAAGAGAACACTTATGAACTATTGGTGGGAATGTAAATTACTATAGGCACTATGAAAAATAGTAAGGAGGTTCCTCAAAAGATTAAAAATAGAACTATTGGTGTAAAAATAGGTTAAAAAACAAATTTCTCTATGTAAAAATAGGTTAAAAAACAAATTTCTTCTGTACAGTACAGGGAACTATATTCAATACCTTACTATCAAAACTTTAATGAAAAAGAATATGAAAATGAATATATGTATATATATGCATAACTAGGACATTATGCTGTACAACAGAAATTGACACATTGTAATTGACTATATTTCAATAAAAGAAAAAATAGAACTACTATATGATCCAGCAATTCTACTTCTGGGAATATCCAAAGGAGTTTCAAACAGCACATAGAAAAGATGTCTGCACTCCCATGTTCACTGCAGCATTATTTACAATAGCCAAGACATAGAAACAACCTAAGTGTCCACTGACAGATGACTAGATAAAGAAGATATGGTATGTGTATACAATGGGCCATAAAAAAGAAGGAAATCCTGTCATTTGTGATATATGGATGAACCTTGAGGGTATGGTGCTAAGTGAAATAAGTCACACAGAGAAAGATAAACACTATGTGATCTCACTTATATGTGGAATCTAAAAAAACAAACCCCACGGAAACAGAGAGTAGACTGGTAGTTACCAGGGACTGTGAGGTGGGGGAAATGGGTGAAGGTGGCAAATGGGTGAAAGTGTACAAGATGAATAAGTTCTGGAGAATGTAACGTACTACATGGTGGCTATATTTAACAATACTGGATTGTATACTTGAAAGATACTAAGTAAATCTTAAAAATTCTCACCCCCACCTCCTCAAAGAAAAGGTAACTATGAGGTAATGGATATGTTAACTATCCTTGTTAAGGTAATAATTTCACAATACATACATATATCAACTCATCATTTTGTACACCTTACACTTATACAATGTTATACGTTAATTCTATCACATTAAACTTGGAAAAAAAAGTAAATAAAAACATGCCTCTCCCTGAAACACACCAAAAATAGTTACCAACACATGCCAACAGCTTTCCATTTTCCAGCCTCTTCCACTAGAGCTACAAGTTTACAGGGTCCATTATCGGCCTTCCATGCATCACCATGTTGTCACAGGAGATTGTTTTGCCAAATGTTTCACTCCTGTGAACATGAGTCACCATGCATAAGGCTTCTAAAATCACTTCCTTTGCTGCGTACTACCCAGCCCCTGAGCCAATGCCGTCTACTTAAGGTTTTTGTTCTAGTCACAGCTCACCTCTGACAAGAATTTCTGCGTCAGTCAGTGTTGCTGCAGTAATAAACACCACTATCTGAGTGGCTTGAAACAACAAAAGTTTCATGATGATTTTACTATATATCACTATGGGACGGCAGGGGTGTTCTGCTCATTGTTGTCACTCAGGAACCCAGGCTGACAACAGCCACCGTTTTGAGTGCTGCTAGTTGTTGCAGGAGAGGGAAAAAAGAGCTCTGAAGGGTCTGGCATTGGCAAGGCTGGAAGTGACTCATATTACTTTTGCTCATAACTAATAGGCCAAAATTAGTTACATGACATTACCCAACCACAACGAAGCCAGGAAGAGCAATTCTCTCTTGAGCTTAGGATGGCAGACAAAAGGAAATATTTGTGGACTACCTACCAAAATAGATAAACAAAAAAAAGAAAAAATGTATGATGAGTGAACTGAAAGAGGTTCTGAAAAACTGAGCTATATGGTAGACATGATTGAGGAACCTATTAGAAGTTGGATGGTCTGGAAGGCCTTGCTAAAGAGGTAACATTGGCACTGAGACCTCAGGAGTGAGCAAGAATTAAAAGAACATTCTAGACAGGAAGTAACAAGCATAAAAGCCCTAGGGTGGAATTAGCTTGGTTTTCCTGAAACTGGCAGAAGATGAGGTCTATGGGAAACTGAGAAACCACGGGATGGGAGGGGAGGGTCATGAGATGAGAGAGACCATCAGGATCAGACCACAGAGGGTCCTGAAGGCCATGGCAAATAAATAGGATTTTATCCTAAATGCAATAGGAAACCATTGAAAGGTTTTAAGATAAGAAATGCATATTTAATTTATGTTTTATAGAGGTAACTCTGGCTGTATAGGGAATTAATTGGAAAATGGGAAGACCAGCAGGGAGGCTACTGCAGCAGGGCAGAGCTGATAGGGATGGGAAGGGTCGGGTTGGGGGTAGTCAGCAGGGAAGATGGCTAGAACAAACAATTTAAGATATATTTTGAAGGACTTACTGATGGATCGAATAAGAGAGAAAGGTTGGGAGCAGTAGGACTTATTTATGACTCCCATTGTCAAAGACGAGCAAAGCAGGACCCTGGTTAAAATGGTAAGGACAGATTTTTGCCAGCAGTAAATATTGCTATAGGGAAAAAGAGTCCAATGTAAACTAAACAAAACTTCAATTTCTACAGCAATGAATGTGTATTTTAAAGGGAGAATACGGGTAGAGTATGGGTCTAGAGTAGGGGCTCAGTAGAGTCAGGGAAGGAAAAAATTACAAACGATTAGTCAGCATAAATGCAGTTAGGCCAGCTGTGGCTGCTAGTGGCAATCACTGAAGTTAGGATTCTACCCTCCTACAGAGACTGGGAGAGAGAGGTCCTATCCTCAGGGGTTGACTGGGAAAAAGAGGAAAGAATTTTTTGGCAACCTTAGATTTTCTCATGCAGGTACTTTAAGGGAGACTGAGGTCATTTTAGGATGTGGCCTTGAGCTGTTAGGAAACTATGTTAATGTTTGGTCAAGTCTTTATAGACAAAGGTTGAAACCTAGTCAAAAAGAAGGCTCACAGGGGCCTGGCTAGAGTCTGGTCAAGGAGAGAATCTTTTGTCATCATGTTTCTGATCTTAGTGACAGTGTGGTTGGTGATGTCATTCACAGAGAAGGGATGGTCTAGGGGCAACTAGGTTTAGAATCTAGAGGAGATCAAATCCTATTGTGGACAAGTTAAGTTCGAGACATTCAATTGGGTGAAGAAGTTAAATATAAGAATGGATCACATAGGAGAAGTCTGGACTAGAGATAAAAACCAAGCGCTGTTAGCAGGATATAACTCAGAGATCACACAGGTGGGAGTTAGAAAAGAGATAGGAACTCCAGGATTTACCTAACAAATTCCTCCTCCAGATCTGTTTCCAGAAATGTATCATTGTTAGGCATGTGGAGTTATATTTCTTATTGTCAGAAAGTAAAGTTAACAGAATAACAACTGTTAAATATTTGGAGACTCTTCTTTTGCCCTGAATCCTACCCCTGTTTGCTATTTCTAAATCATAGCCATATACATATATGCATTTATTAAACACTATAGTCATACCCATTTAATATACATGGAAAACTGAACCGAGAAGGATTAAGTAACTTGCCTGAGGTGATACAAAATTAGTAAGGGTTGGGTCCTTTATTCAAAACTAAGCATTCTGGTTCCAGTCTGTGTTCTGAACCTCTATACTACATGGCAAGCCTAGTATAGTACCTTGGTTTATCTATTTAGTGGGTCATAAACAATAAACTATATATATATATATATATATATATATATATATATATATATATGTATATATATAATAGTTCCAATAAGAGTTTTTATTGGCTTTCTCTATGTTCATGTGTGCATGTCTGGATCATTAGGGTTGAGGCACAATTTACCTGGTGGACGTGCCGCAGGCTATTAGAGTCAAACTCTAGAAAGAATGGAACCGGCTTCACTAGAACGGTCCTGAAGCTTCAAACCATTAAAAACAAACGAATACAAAATTTTAAAAACACCAATTGTACTGGTCAGTTAAGTTTTCTCTGCCCTGGGGCAACAAGCTGAATTCCTAGTCCCTGGACATCATTAGCTGGTCAGTGAGACAGTAAAGTTTTTCCCTTCACAGAACATTATATGTAGTATTGACACACTGAATTCACATTGTTGTCGTAAGTATTGGAGAGCTCCTTGAGGGCAGGAATTGTTTTATGCCTTTTTTTTTTTTTAATATATCCTCCGTGCCTAGCGAAGTCTGACATGCAGTAGGAGCACAAGGAATGCTAGATAGAAGGGAGGGAGGGAAAGGACAGAAGGAGAAAAGGAGGGAAAGAGGGGGAAAGGCATTAAAATCAAACATGCCTACTGAATACTTTTTGAAGATGAGTAAAACGGCCTTCCAAGGTTGTAGTTTTGGTTTGTTTGTTTTTTAAGTTTTTCCCGTTTATAGTGCCCAGAAACGTCCTGAACTCAGGTAAAATCCCTCTCCCTCCACCTGCCCTCCGCGCTTCCTGACCTCCAGCCCGGTCCCCAGGCCTCCCAGTCCCGCCCACTCCGCCAGCGTTGGCCAGTCCAGCCACGGCGCCTGCGCACTCGGCGCTCTCGATCCGGGCCGTCGGGGCGGGGTCCCGAGCGGGACGTTCCGCCCAAGGGAAGAGGAAGAGGAAGTTGGGGGAGGGTCCTAGCTGGGAGTGAACCGGAAGTGCAAACGCTCCTGCTTCTCCTCGGCCAGGCGGAACCTTCTGTGCTGGGCCCGGTGGCTGCGAAAAAACTTTCTTTCTCCCGCCCCAACGGTCGCCGCGGCCAACTGCCTCGCCCGCCTGGCAACCTATCCCGCCTTCTCTTCTCTCCGGCTCCGCGCGGCCCTGTCTCCCTCTCGCCCGGCGGTATCCGCTTGCTGCTGCCACCGCCTCCTCGTCTTCTGCCCGGCCAGCCGGCTCGCCCCGCTGCAGTGATGTGCGACAAGGAGTTCATGTGGGCCCTGAAAAACGGAGACCTGGACGAAGTGAAAGACTATGTGGCCAAGGTAAGCGGGGATGCTTGGAGTTGGCGAGAGCCTGGAGGTGGTATGAAGAGGAGGCTGAGGAAGCAGCTGGGAGCTGGGCTGGCGTGGGCGGGGGTGGGGGAGACCTCTTGGATGGAGGTGGCACCGACAGAGTGGGGAGTCAGAGAGCGTCTACACTGAAAGAAGGGTCCAGATAACGCGGTCGTGCTCTGTGTCAGGTAGCTGCCGTGGTGATACAGCCAGGCGCTGGCCTTCCTGACCCCTTGGGGGAGGGGAGGAGTGGTGACCCGCTCTTTTAGAGTCACTTATGAGCACTGATGATTTCCGTTCGGCCCTCTTTTACGCCAGTTACTTAAATCTTTCTTTGGATGAGGTAATTCTCCATCTTGGATCTGCCCATTACTGAATGAAGTAAGTTAAGTGATTAGGATCAGAGGAACGTTTTCTTTACCTTTGGGCCTGTTACGAATCTAAAGTAGTCATTGACCATGAAAAAAGAGTACCGAAAATAGCAATAGTTAAAATTCTGAAACTTCTCTGTAAAGTCCTAACTTTGGGTGTGGCCTTTTCCTCCACCACCCCCGCCCCTGGTCCCCCAACAAATACTTGTTTGCTTCAAGTGGTAGGGTGGTTGGTTAGCATCTGGGAATGTTTAAGATTATCTGAGTAGTTTTCAAACAAGAATGTTAACTTTTATTATTCTTTCTTTCTCTTTGATTCCATCTGAAATGCTTACATGTGTAGTAAATAGTAATGCGGTTTAGTCACAGTAATATGGGGGTAAAATCATGATGAGGAGAGCTAATCTCAAACCTGAACCCAAATGTGAATCCACATTGCAAAGAAGTGGTAAACTTTAAATTCCAAGTCGGCCTGCCTTTGGACCCTGAAACTGTGCTTTTTGTAATTGTGAGAGAACTTACATGTAATTTCAACATGATAATGATTTTAAAAAGTTTTCCTAAAGTATGGCTTTATGACATCACTATGGAGCACATTTTGCCTCTAAAATTTTAACTTTATGATGAGATCATGGAGGGCATCTTGGTCACCTTCTAAAAGTGTGGGAACCCAATCTAGACTTTAGTTCTTCAAAGGGTATGATAGGCTGCTGTGTTTTTACTTTAGAGATCTGTGTTAGGAAGCAAGTAAGCAGAAGAGAGTTTCTTAAAACTCACAGGATTGTGCAAGGCAAGCTACTGATAGACTTTCTACATAGAGATTATCTGCTCAGTTGTTATTTGTAGTGGATTTTTAGAACATTATTCACTGCCTTCTCAGCTAGTGGCAGTCTGAAACTCAACTTGTTGGATGTTTCAATGTAAGATTAAAGGGAAGAAATTACTTGGAATACTTTAATCAACATGGTTCACTCCCAGTGGTGGGACTCTGCAGTACTCTGGAAGTGAATGGGCTTCCCATTAATAGTGGAACCTAAGTTACTTGATATTCTTGAAATAAAAAAAGTTGTTGCAGCTTGCAGCTACAAAAATAACACAATTTATGTAGTATATTTCTGTTGTGTTATTTTATATCATTCTTGTGAGTCTTGTGGAATAAGTCCTTTTATTAGCCCCATTTTATGGATAAGATTACTGAGATGCACGGTACTTAAGGAAAAAATCCAAAGTTGCAGAGATAACCAATGATGAAGTTAGAACTAACCTGCTGACTCCAAAACTTAGACTCTAACTGCTCCATGCAGTATCTCACAATCTAAACTGTAACTGTGAGAGCTTATGATATCAAGATTTCTAGTAGGACATTCTTGAGGTCCACATCTAAGCACATAAATTATACAGTTTTCAATCACACAAAAACATTTTTGTAAAATTGTGTGCTAATAATGATTATTTCTTTTTGGTTAGTTTTTTAATTAGGTTATTCAATTTGATTTTGATTTTTCCCTATTGCTACCATACTTCCTACTTTCATTAACAAAAAAGATGTGCATGAGAGGGAAGGACAGTTAAAGAAAAGTAAAAAGAAGTATTAAGAACTGGTTTATCCAAAAAGATTTGACCGTAAAGTAATCCTACGGACAGACCATTGAGCTTTAGACTTCTGTAGTCTTTACTGAGTAAATTGAGTCTCTTAAAATAGCATTTGCTTCATTAGTGAAAAATAACAAAACACAGAACAACCAAAAACTGCACTCTAGTTTTTACTGCCTGAGCACCTGAGCTCCCTTATTGTGCCTTTTCACCTTCTCAAGTCCTCATAACATGATTTGTCCTGTTCAGCTGCCATCTTTCCTGCTTATTCATTGATTCACTTTTTTATCCACCAATTTATGAACACTCATTATTATTTTCTGAGTTTATGTAATGTACATTTATCTGAGTGTGTACAAAGAAGGTACATTAAGAAAGATTTAGACTTGTCTAGTTTTCCTTTTAAGAGGTGAGAATCTTTAAAATACTCTCCTCAGTATTCCCGTGAAGATCCCTCCCATTGTTAACGTAAGAATGGACCTATAGGTGAAGCGTTTTAGTATTTTCTCTTTTTTAAATTAACATTTTCAAAAATCAATAATTGTACTTTTCTACCTGCTTCTGACTTCTGTGCAGAAATCTGAAGTATGGATAGGCATAAATTGTTGGTTTGGGGTGAATTCTTGAACCCCGGAAAATAAGTTCAGAGTTCCCATACCACTGAAAATTATTTTTCTAAGTGGAAAAAGCGGCATATAAAGAAGAATTTAGAGTACTCCATATTAAATGCTTATGTAAACATTAAAACACTATCTGAAACAGTTTGGTTTCTTGACTGACCTAAAGACCACATTTAGTTAATTCATCCATCTTTATTGGGCACCTTTCAGGCCACCAGCACTTTGCTAGGCCCGGCACAATAATGAAGTTGGACACAATGCTTAGAAAACTTAAACCTCTATATTCAGCAGATCTATATGGAAAAGCTGTTGTACTTTTAAAGTAGTATGCAAATTATAAGTAACATCTCACTTACATAAGCAGTTTGTCCAATTGGAAAACAAGTAAAAGCCACAAAGTGTGATATTCATGAGCAGTGTTAGTAGCTATTCATAGTCCCATTTTCAATCTGTATGATTCCTCTGGGTGCCTTATTTTGCCTTTGTCCTCCATTTCTGCCTGTATGTTAATTTCTCCCCTTGGAGTTAATTCAGCCCTCACATGAGCTCCACACTGCCTAATGGGTAGCTCCATTCAGGTAAGTTCCAAATTGAGCTCACATTTTCTTCTCAGAAACTGTTTCAATTTTTGTTGTCTCCATTTTGACTTATGACATCATGACCCAACCATTTGCCCAAACCAGAATTTGGAGGATTTTCTCCAGTTTCTGACTGTTATCAAGACTACCCTTCTTAGTCTTTCTCATTCATTCCTTACTCTCCATTCTTGATCATCAATACTTTAGGTTAGTTACTGCTTCTTAACCACCTGGACTGTATTTTCCTTGACTGTAGGTTTCCCCTCCTTCCTGGTCAACTTACACATCTCAGCTGGAGAAATCTCTCTCTAATATGAGTCTGAGCATCTTATCTTTTTCAGCTAACCTCTTTCACTGCTCTTCTTATACATTTGTGAGTCCTCATTATTTACTCTTAAAAAGACCAGCTCATCCTTGGTTTGGCATACTAGATGGTCAAGATCAGACCCATGCTTGCCTTTTTAAACTTGCTACTCTACAAGCACGCTGCCTCAGACCCTGCCATGCTATTTCTTACTTGTATCTTCACATGTGCTCTTCCATCATCCTTGACCAAGTCTACTCACCTCAGTCCCTAACTCCCAACCTGGTGAGCTGTTTATCCTCAGCTTAAATATCACCTCTTCCAGAAAAGCATTTTGACTTGAAATGAAGTGCTGCTGCTTTTACTGTTTTGCTTATCACATAGCTGTGATTTTGTTTATATGTCTGCCTTTAATTAGGCTCTGAGCCTCTGAAGGATAGATACTATATCCTTTTTCATCTTTGTATCTCCAGTATAGTGCCAAGGAATTTCACACATTAAAAGCATTTGTTCCAAATAAATTCTTTTTATTCTCAACTTTGCTATACTTTCAACATCCTGCATAGGTTATATAATAATAATTACCTTTGACAGGTTGACTTATATTGCCAAGTACTAGAGTGCACTCTGCAAGATTTTTACTTAAATTTTCCTTTTTTTTTTACCACAACGTTTCAGGATAGATACTAGTGTTCCATTTTAAAGATGAGTAAATTGAAGCTTAGAGAAGTTAAGAAATTTAACAAGATCGCAAAATAAGTAGCACAATTGGGATTTAAACCCATAGCTTTCCGAAATCTACAGCCCACATTTTTTTCCCTTATCAGTCTGGCTTGAAATGGTTATCTGGCTTCTTAACTCACAGTAGCTTAGCAGCAGCACATTAAGAACATGAGAAAGGGGTTTGCAGGAGGCAAGCACGAATTATCTCTGACTATGAATGAGGACATAGTAAATTGGCTACAGTTTTTAAAATATTAAATAATAACAATTTGGAAGTAGCATGGAGACACCATCTCTATAAACTTTTAAGTCTTGTCAGGGGCTATTTTTTATCTTTGCTCAGGGTGTGTCTCTAAAGAAACTGATGGCTTGTGGAAACTTTTGTATGTATAGTCACACATAAATAATCTTATAATTTATATTCATAGTTATGATCCTGTACAGTACAGGAAAAGTTAAATTGTGTCTGCCTTAAGAAGAAACAAAAGTTAACTGAAGTATTAAGATTTCTATTCAGATGGTTTAAATTAAACAAATGACACTTTTTTCAAAAGTATGTTCTTAAAACTTCTATATATTTGAGTATTGTGATATCAAGTACAGGTATAATGTCATTTACTTATCACATCTACCCATGAGCATAGTTAATATTATTAACCTGATTTTAGAGATGAAGAAACAGAGGCGAAGATTAAATAACTTGCCTAAGGTCATAAAGCTCTTGAGTAATGAAAATGAGATTTGAACTCAATCTCTCTGAGTTCAAAGCTCTTTGCTATTTACGTCAGCATACCGTTGACTT